CGCAGGATGTCGCTTCGAAGTGCCGCGAGAGATAATGACAAAGAGAGCGGTGATTAACGTACGCTCGATGGACAATGCATGCTTCGCATGGTCGGTGGTCGCCGCTCTGTACCCAGCCGAAAGAAACGCGGATCGCGAATCTTCCTACCCACACTATACGACGGTGCTGAATTTCCAAAATATAGAATTTCCTATAACGTTAAAAGACATAACAAAATTTGAACGTCTCAACGACGTGTCCATTAACGTATACATTATCGAGAGACAAAAAACGCTAAACGTTCTCCCGATACGACTCGCTGACGACAAAAAGGAGAAACATGTTAATTTACTATATTTGCGAGATCCGCGAGACGATAATGTGGGCCACTTCGCATGGATCAAGAATATTTCTCGGCTCATGAGCTCGCAATTGAATAAACATAACGGCCAAAAGTACATTTGCGATCGGTAAGTATACGATTAATAAAAGCGAATTCTTCTTTAAAAATAAATTTTAAAAAACCATTATTTATTTTTTATTTGCAGCTGTTTACATTATTTTCATTCCAACGAGAGATTGCAGTTACAAATGGTAAATTGCGTACGTATAAACGACTGCGCTATTCGACTATCGAGTGACGACGACAAGTGGCTGAGCTTTAACAACTATAATAGGAAGGAACGAGTTCCATTTGTCGTTTACGCTGATCTGAAATGCATCCTCGAGAAAACTGATAGCGATCAGGAAGCATCTACGCTCACGTATCAACTTCATTATCAAGTATTTAACATAGAATACTGCGTGCGCTGTTCATACGACAATTCGCTATCAAAATATCGATTTTGTCGCGATCCGGATTGCGTTTCATGGTTCGTCGAAAAACTGAGAAGTTTAGCACATTGCGTAAAAAGAATTTTAGCAGCTAATGTCCCCATGGAAACTTTGTCGAGCGAACAGTGGGAGACATTGCACAGCGCGACGCATTGTCATGTGTGCGAAAAGCCTTTCGCACTAGACGATAATCGAGTAAGCGATCATTGCCATTTAACCGGTCGTTACAGGGGTCCCGCGCATCCAAATTGCAATTTAAATTATAAAAACTCATATTTTATTCCTATAGTTTTTCACAATTTATCAGGCTATGATTCACATTTTACTATCAAAGAAATAGTTACAGCATATGAAGGCAGAATTACTACCAATAATAAAGGAAAAATATATATCATTTACAAAAAATGTTCAAGATACCGCTGAAAGATCAGATTCGCGAAATAACATAAAATTACGGTTTATCGATTCTTATAAATTTTTAAGTACCAGTCTCGACAAATTAGCATCCTTTCTCAATAAAAATGAACTTCGAATTTTACAATGCGAATTTCAAAATTTGCCCGAAGAAGACTTCGAGTTACTGATACGAAAAGGGATTTTTCCATACGAATATATTGATTGCGCCAATAAGCTGCAGGATACGTGTTTACCACCGCGCGAATCATTCTACAGTTCCTTGACCGGTCACACTGTAACCGAAAGCGATTACGCACACGCTGTGAACGTTTGGCAACAGTTCTCTGTTCAAACCTTGGGTGAATACAGCGATCTATATTTAAAAACGGACGTGTTGCTGTTAGCTGACATATTTGAAAATTTTCGCGATAAATGTATTGAAAGTTACGGTCTCGACCCTGCGTATTATTATACTTTACCAGGTTTTACGTGGGACGCTATGCTGAAACATACACGTGTAAATTTCGAATTGCTCACTGACATCGATATGGTGATGTTTATCGAGCGCGGTATACGCGGTGTTCTTAGTCAATGTTCCAGCAGATACGCGCGAGCCAATAATAAATATATGCAGTCGTAGGACCCGTCGAAACCTTCTATGTACTTGATGTACTTCGATGTTAATAATCTATACGGGTGGGCGATGTGTCAACCGTTGCCATACGCCAAATTTCGAAAACATCTCAGACTTTGACGTTAGCGCGATTGCTCAGGATTCGCTCACAGGTTACGTTCTTGAGGTCGACTTAAAATATCCGGAGCGTTTGCACGACGAGCACGTTGACTACTATTCTGTCCAACACGTGATAAACCACCTGGCAACCGGCAGGATAAACTTTTAGCGACTGTGTATGACAAAAAGCGTTACGTTATACATTATCGCAATTTGCAGCAGTGCATGCGTCACGGTCTTCATGTAACAAAGATTCACCGCGTATTGCAATTCGCACGATCACCATGGCTTCGCGAGTACATAGAACTTAATACAAAATTTAGAACGTTTGCGAAGAATGATTTTGAGAAAAATTTATTTAAGTTAATGAATAATGCAGTATTCGGCAAAACCATGGAGAACGTGCGCAATCGATGTAAAATTATTAACACAATGGAATGGACGATACGGCGCAGAGGCAATGATCGCGAAGCCGAATTTTCAAAGCAGAAGTGTATTTTTTGAAAATCTGATAGCGCGCAATTGAAATGCGTAAACTTGAGTTGAAGTTCAACAAACCGATCTACGTAGGAATATATACTCTCGATATATCGAAGGTCTATTTGTATGAATTTCACCACGAACATATGTTACCACTGTATCGCAAAAAATGTGAAATTATGTACACAGACACTGATAGTCTCATATATCGCGTCGAGTGTGATGAGCTTTATGAACAAATGAAACGTGATACCGCTAGGTTCGATACGAGTGATTATTCTACCGATAATGTGTATGGTATGCCACTTGTAAGTAAAAAAGTGCCAGGCTTAATGTAGGATGAAAATAATGGCGCAATATTGACTGAATTCGTTGGACTCAGAGCCAAAATGTATGCGTTGAGGGTGGACGGTAAAAAAGATACTAAAAAGGCAAAAGGTGACAAAAGTAACATCGTAACGCGAACTATAACGTTCGATGATTACACACGATGTTTAAACGATGAAATTGAAATGTCGCGCTAACAGTCATGCATAAGATCAAAATTACATCAAGTATATACGATATCTGAGACGAAAATCGCTCTGAGTCCGTACGACAAACGATACGTCATACCGAATTCATCCAAAACATAATTTAACCAAAACATTACCATGGGGACTGTTTGCGTCTTTACTTTATCATTAGTTTTAAGTTTACCTGTAAGCTCCGTTTTAGTTTGAGTTTGAATTATTCTCCGTTAGGGGCGCCCAAGCATTAAAAGTACTACTTCCGTTTTTGTAGCATTAAGACTAGTGGACTCGAAACGTTAAGTCGTGATTTTAGTTTTCATTTTGGTTTTGTAACGAGCCCAAGTATCAGATCAATAAACGAATACAATACAAACCCCAACA